TAACCAGAAGGCTGGCGGTTCAAACCCATCAGTCACTCCTCGGAAGAAAGGTTGGGCAATCTACTTCCATAGTGATACCGCCTCAGCAACTCAAAGAGGAGTCACTCTGAGTCAGGGCTGACTTGATGGCACACAACAACAACACAGTGGGTGGTACTGAGAGATCAGTATTTTCTCAAATATTTTTACTACAACCCTTAGTAAGAAATATATTTTAACATTATAACCCAGTGTAAGTACTTATCCATAAGTGAACACGTGTGTGCACATATATATATAATGTGTGCGTATATACAGACATAACATATATACACAAAATACAACAGTTTCACTAAACAAAAGTAACCTTAATTATGTGTGATGACTTTCAGTTCTATCCTATATCATTTAAAAGACACTGGTGATCAAAACCCAGTTACGGGTCAAACACGTAGTTTAAAAAATCCTAGCACTGGTAGTGTTGTATTAAGGGCTACCGTGCAAGAAGACAATGTTTTTTAGGCCCAAGGCACTGTTGTACTCATAACCTAACACAGGGAAATGAAAGTAACAAGAGGTGCTCTAAAATAACAGATTTGTCCTACATAGGTTTCCTTTGCAACTCTATTGATTTTAAGGTTGTTGCTGACCTGAGGCACTTAATGTTATCTGTGTTACTTAAGTAATGATTTATCATTTGCTGTCACTTGCTGTTCTTTTGTAGTCTTACTGATTACACTGCATGCTTTAATGAGGTATTCATGAGCATGTATCACAGCCAGGCTCTTAGCAAAGCTCCTTATCATTTACGAATGGTATGTCAGGAGTCAATCTGTTGTTACTCTTAACATTAAATGGAAAAGGCTGCTATATCCAAATGTTACTCTGCTTTACAGATTATTCTGCAAAATGCCTGAAGCTCTGGAGCATAGGTTTTAAGAAAAAAAAACATTAAAATGTGATGCTAATTTTGGCCCAGATGACCCTACCCTGCAGAGTCAGAGCTGCCTGGCCTGCCGCAGTGATGTCAAGGGCAAAGGGGAAGGGGACGCTTTGAGCACTGAGTGTGGGTACCGGTTCTGTTCAGTTACTGCAAATAAGAGTTTCCGGGGAGTGACAAGGACATGAACTACTTAGGTGAACTTTAAGTACATTTGCATACAACTTTCTAAACTCTCATAGTCATTTTCATTTTTGCTAAATTAATGGTTGTCATTCTGTTCATATTAAAAGCATGTTTTTTATCACTTGATGATTTACGAAACACTTTCACATATATTAATGGCTAACATTTATTGGGCTCTGGGTATGTGACAGGCACTGTGCTAAACACTTAATCTGCACTATCTCACAGAATCATCAAATCTAACCTACATTTTTAAGTACTATTATCATCTTTTATAGAGATGAAAAGGATGTTTAGAAAACTAAAGAAATTTGCCCAAGGCCACAACCACTCATGAGTGTGCCATGATTCAAACCTAGGTTTGTCTACCTTAAGAAGTCAAACCCTTTAATTACTGGGTTATACTTTGTCTCTTCCTCTAAATAACGTTTTCTGAGGCTTAGTGATACCAATTGATTTCTTTAAGATTATCAGCCAATTTCTCTGCAGTAACAGGACTCAAACCCAAGCCATCAATGCTAAGTCAGTGCTTTTCTACCACATCATTATGTCCCATATTTATACCCCCTTATGTTGCCCACATCTGCAGTTCTGACAGGCAGGCAATGGCACAGGAGAAAAAAAGGACAGAAAAGTTTTTTGAGGAGCACAGGTACAGAGTGCTGGTGGTTCTCCTTTTCCATCTAATGCCAAAAGGGAAACAGAGGAAAGAACACCCATTTAGATGAGGCAGGGAGCACTACTTTGACCATACTAATCAAAGGCAGCTGTATAATCTATATGTTAGGAGACAGAGAAACAGTTCAAATATGAGTGACAGAAAAGCAGTAAGATAGGATTAAACAAGAACATGTGTTCAAATATTTAAAGAACAGAATAATAACATGTGTAAGTCAATAATAAAAATAAAAATTAAGTTAATACATCTTTATTTCACATGAAACTAGAACAAGGAAAAGTATCAAAAGACATTCTCAGCACTGCAAGCTCTGGAGTGCAATCCTACAATGAGAAGCAGCAGCCCCACAACCGGCCCACCAGGGTTGTAAAAGATAGATTCGAAATTCAATTCTGCAAACTTTACCAGCCTACCCACTGCCTTCCAGTTGATTCTTCCTCACAGAAACCCTACAGGACAGAATAGAACGGTCTCATAGGGTTCCCAAGGCTGTAATTTTTATAGCAGACTGCCGTATCTTCCTCCTATTAGCAGTTGGTGGGTTTGAACTGCCAACCTTTCAGTTTGCAGTCGAGCACTTAACCACTGCGTCACCAGGGCTCCTTCAACCCTGCATAGGTCTAGAAAATAGATTAATAACCTAAATCAATTGCTTTTAAAAAGTAATTTAAAATCCTTCTCTAAAAAATTGAGTATCAAAGCCTAATAAATTCTAGCATGAGCACTAAAAGTAATTAATGTTCAAAAACTAGGTTTTGAAACAAAGTTAGGATAAAGCGTTTTATTCCAACCTTCTCTTCCTCAACAAGCTTATTTCAGCTCTAACTCTAGTCATGTATTAGTTCTTGGCTCTTCTTTCTGTGGCAACAACCTCAGTAATTTGAATAAGCATTAGGCTTTATGGGGCAGTACATTCAATGTAAAGTTTCCAAAAGTTCCTAATTTATTTTTCAACAAATATGTGTAAATGTAAGTTCAAAGTTGGGCTGTTTTTTTTTTCTTTAAAACACTGCCATATACTAAAGAACCAGTCGAGGGCAGTTTAAATGGAAAACTACTTCAAAAGCAAAATTCACCATGATGAATGTGTCAAGTGAAATTAGAAATTCACCAATGCTAATTGGGTATATTCTGAATGTATTACACTTCTGAAGATATCTTTATGAACCTTTCACAATTTTGTATTAATACCCATGCACGGCTGCACTGTGAATGTACCCATAATTTGACACAATATAGGTTATTATGCTTAATAACTTGCGATCTCTCAGGGAGATTGCAAAGTGAAAAGACATGAGAAAGCTATAGTGTGAAAATACTATTTCTGAAAGGAAGGGAAAATGTAATATGAAAAATCTTTAAGAATATAGATAGAGCAAACATGGTTTAGTTTATTCAAGTAAAAGAATTACAGAGCCACGTGGTCACCATAAAACCTAACAGACAAAAATCAGAATTTGTGACCCTATGGAAAAGACAAAAAATTTCACAGACAGTTTGGTTACAAACCCACATGTGTAAGATCAAGGTCACCCAAGATAATCCTGTTAGTTCACATAGTCTCCTGGTGCCTCTGTCAGGAGCAGAATACTGGGCTTCATGGAAAAAGGTCCAGAGAGCAACACCCCTGTTCTTATGACAGCAGAGAAGAAGAACCCTACAGGTTTTGCATGCATAGATGTCAACATAAGGTGCTGACACAAAAAGAAATGAAGTTCTCCGATTCCTTGCCTTGATACTACAAATGGCTACCAAACATATACAAGTGCAGTCTGAAAAATTACCAAGACATCATGTATTTGTTAAGACACCTTAGATAATATCACAGTTCTTATTCTAGGGTTGTTGATCTATGGACCTCTGCAATGATAAATAAGTACAGAGTGTTCATTACAACTACGAAAATAAAATATGACAACATTCCTTACAGAGACAGAGCAACTTTACAGCTTCATTTCAGGAATATCCTGAGGAGAGGTGGCGTCTCAGAGAGAGCAGGTAGAGTTAGGAATGTTCAAGTACAAACTAATACACTAGGCTGGCGTTCCCTGGTTTCAGACAGCTCTCTCCTCATCTCCCTTCTCTCTGCCCGCTGGGGTGGGGTAAGGAGTAAAGGAGGGACGTCTCTGAGAATATCTGCTTTACCACTGACCTTTTCTTCTCATTTCACACAAACATCTTTAGCCTGTTTATCTGGGTCTGATGTGTGCTTAGTCTGCACAGAAGAGATGCTCAGGGCCAAAAAAGATAACCTGTAACAACTCTGGTCCACCTCTCAAAAAAGGAGATATACAGTACTTGTTGGGTGAGGAGGCAAGTATTTGGGAAAAAAAATCCAATTTTCTTAATGCAATGAGGACTTTCCCTGTTGCACAAAATACGATTATGTTTCCAATGCAAAAAGACATCTATTTCTGCACATTTGCCCCAACAGCAGCTCAATTAAAAACAGGCCCATCAGATTTGCACAGTTTCCTCAACTGCTCGGTTCCTGTCACGCTGCAGATAGCAGAAAAGCACTTAATGGCAGCCACAAGGCAATTTTCCAGTAAGATTTGTTAATCTTTATACGGTCATCTTCATGCAGCCATCAAAGTGAATTTAATGACAAATCAGTTACAATAAATTACTTTAAGGAACTTGTAAGGATTGGATAAAAAGCAAACCATATGTGATATCTCTTCGGTCCTCTCCATGACAGCATATAATTGTCCCCATCTGTGCTATTTATTCTGTTTGCCTTGCCTACCCCCTCAAAACCCACAGATCCACTTTGCCCTTCTCTGTCCTTTCTGGGCCCCAGGAGGCTGACCTCCCTGGACCAGAGAACATTATCTACATCAGCTGTGGCCTTGTTTTCTGGCTTCCAGCTGGTCTCAGCCAGTGGAAGGCACCAGAAAAGATGAGAGGACAAGAGGAGAGAGATGTCAGGGAGTTATTGCCCCACTGCTCTTTCAGCCAGGCAACCCCTCTTCCTGGGCTCCAGCTCTAGGTAGTTCAGGTTGTCAATGCCCCCTTCCCTTACCCCTCAGGCCCAGGTGTAGTCACAGCTTCCTATTACTGCTAGTCCCTGGGTGCTTCATCAGCCCTTGTTGGTTCCCTGGACCTATCCCCACTTCCATAAATGATCTAAACCCTTATGACGGGGCCACACAAGGCTGAGACCCTGGGTGACACACTGTTGGTGGCCAAAGCATACAAGCTGGGGTCACTTACATGCACTGTGTGGACCAGATCGGCCATCAGGCATTGTTTCAGCTTCTCATCATTGCTGGTTCCATGAAGCACCAGATCAGGCATGTACGTGGGGCAATAGCCTGCCAAGAGTGACCGGCCAAAGTTCCTTACATTCTGGTTGCTGAAGCTCTGAGACCTAAAACAATACGTGTAAGTAAAAGTGTACAACCTTCTGGTAAACCCCAATGACATGAGTAAATAAAATAGATTCCGGGTGGCCCATTTCACCAATCCTCCTAAATAGATCACTGGTGTGGTAAAAGGAAGGAGGTTCATAGAGAAAAAGAGGTTTTGTGGGTTTTTCCCCCCAATTGAAGGGTTAAAAAAAAAAAAAGGCATTTCCATGGCTGTTTATAGAATTTGTTCTTGTACCTCATCCCAAACATCCCCCAAACAGTCTGTGTCAAAAGAGTGAAGGAAGAGGAAGTCTACTGAGAGGGACTCTTGCCAAAGCCTGGCTTTAGGAACATGACACATCTGCACAGGGTGGTGCCCACGACAGTGCAGAAATACAGAAGAAATTACTAATTACTGCTTTCAGTCACCACAGACCAAATAATCAACCTGATGGAGTGTTAAGAAAGAGGTGCTGTTTCCCAACCACTTCACGCTGCTTGGACTGCCAGGAGGGAAGCCACACAGCAAGTGTAATCCACCACCTCCAAAGCAAGGCATCTGCTGCCAGCCATATCACTTTCACACAGATGACATAAAACTAAATTCCCTGTTCCTCACCACCACCACCATCACAGCCTTTAAGCTTCACCAAAATGTCAAAATAACTGCAAGTGATTTGCAATCTCCTTGCTCAGAGAACTCAGTTGCAGTAAGCCAGTGATCATCTTCTTAAAGAAAAGGCAGGCTGCAAACCAATCTGTATTGATTTATAACACTTCCAATGCTGTTGTTGGCAGCTGCTGCTGAATCAGTGCTGTCTCCTGACAACCCATGTATGCAGAGTTGAACTGCTTCTCAGAGTTTCAAGGCTGTGACCTTTTAGAAGCAGATTTCCAGACCCTTCTTCCAAGTCTCCCTACATGGGTTCCAATCACCAACCTTTTGGCTAGTGGTTGAATGCTTAACTGTTGTGTCACCCAGAGACTCCTACACTTCTAATACTTTAACTGGAGAAAAATCAAAAACATTGTGTGTAAAATAGCCAATGGTGGTGTTGGGACCATGATCATGGGTGTTCAGCCAGGAAAACAGTATTTGAACCCAGTTTCCTCAGCTTCCCAGCCTACCCATATTACCTTGGCAGTGGCAGCTCCACCTCCAAGGACTCTTCAGTTCTGTCACCGCAGTGCCCTAGACTCAGCGTGGCTGAAGCACATGTTTCATCATCACTGTCTCCAAGAGCACTGTCTGAGCTTTCATTTCTGGGAATGCCTCCTTCAATTCTGAAGTCCGCTTTCCTGCTGGCATCCCCACAGGGGACATCTGCACCGACCGAGAGGCCAGAGTCCTGCTGTACACACCTGTCTGGAACAGGCTCCAACAAAGGTCCTTCTGCCTCCTTCAAACACAAACCTTTAGTTTTCTCCAACAGTCGCTTTCTAGTTTCAGCAGCAGTGTCAGAGGGAGCAATTGAGTCAGCAGACTGGTTGAGCTGACCAGCAACATCTGTAGCCACATTGGTTTTGATGTCTCTGTCCTCAGCAAAACACCTGTCAAACTCACCTTCATCCCCCTCAGAAGACTGATACTGAGGCCAGCAGACATTCTTTTGAAAGCCAGAGTTAAAAGAGCACCTGGATACCTCCTGGACCTGAGCCATGTCAGGGGTCACCCTGGACTGAAAAGAGGGACCATTGGCTGACTCTGGACACTGTCTACAGGCCTTTAGCTGCTCCTCCATTTTCTTTGTGCGACTTTCAAGGTCAGATTCTGGAGATATGGAGCTTCCAATTTGGAAAATGACCTTTTCTAAGGGAGGCTTCTCCCAGGTATGTCTGTCACGGCAAGGCCAGGCCACTGACCGGTCTGGTAGTTTCTTAGGCATCTCCCCTTTCAACTCCTCGCTGACAATCTGTTGGCTGATTTTCAATCCTGTCCCCAGAATTTCAGAACTGGTTAGTCTCAAAGAACCAACTTGTGGTGCCACTTTTTTACCTCCTTCATCCTCACAAAATGTGCCTTGATGTTGCCAAGAGGTGCCCAAAGCTGGCCCTTGGAATCCCATGCTACAAGGCTCAGAGCTCTGCTCTGGCCTTTTGCTTCCTTCTCTGTCAGGTTTGGGACACAAGTCTGTAAAGTCAGTGCCCTCTGGGGCCCCGGCCAACCCTGTGGGCCCGAGGTTCCTGTTCTCAGCTGTTGTTTGTGGTAGGATGGGGGGTAAGAGAGCAGGCTCATTTCTCACCGTAACTACCACATACTCTGACTCCTCTACCTCGCCTTTCTCCAGGGCTGTTATGATCTTGCTTCCATTTAACACCTGGTCACCTTCACCATGATTCCCACTCCAGGTCAGCTGGTTCTCTTGTAGCTCAGAGCAACGGAGAAAGTAGGTCAGGACATAAAGTATGCGCTGGACCAAATCCTTCTGCTTCCCCACCACCACGGTGCGAGTCAGCCTCACTGGCGATCCTATGGCTCCATACAGATCACCTAAAGAGAAAACATGCACACAAAGTCAAAGTCCTCTGAGGTCAGCATGTCATAACTATGTCAGTCTTTACAAGACAAAAACAGGTCACTTACGTTTTCAAACTAAAATCACTTCTTTAGGCATGTGATTGAAGAGAAAGGTAATGTCTAGTAATCATTCTGTTTCAGTTTTGCATCAATATTCGGGCAAACCCACCTGGAAAGGGCTGGCAGAGGCTGCAGCCTGCTGTCCATGATGCATGGGGCCAGCATTATTGTGCATGCAGCACTTCTCAATGTTCTTGTTCTTTAGCCCACCAATGGAGGCTAAGGCCAGAGCCTTGAATATGTGACCACATCAAATACTGAATCTTGGAAATCAGAATGATTAAGAATCCCAGGACAATGGGCCTTGGGGTAAAATCCAAATCGAGAGATATCTGAACAGAAGTTCAGCGACTCCACTGAAAGTACTCAATGAGGGGCCACTTAGAATTCTCTCCACACACACACACCAAGTAGGATCAATTTGGTTAACAAGAAGAAAATCAGTCATGAGTAATGAATGTTTTCTTTATTTTCTTTAGATGCAAATTTTACTTGGAAAATAAAAATATGTCCCATTAGTTATATTCTGACAAACTGATGAAAAACTGGCTAATGAGCTGTTAGGAAAACATTTAGTTTAAGGGTAGAAGAAAGGCCAATGTGTCAGTGAACCCAGCAGTACAGTATTAACAAAAGTATTTGTTAACTGCCAAATGACTAAACTTGTTGTTATGTGCCATCAAGTTGGACCCAACTCATAAGGACCCCTCCTTGGGTTTCTGAGGCTGTATCATTATGGAAGTAGATTGCCCAACCTTCCTTCTGAGGAGTGGGTGGCGGATTTGAACCTTCTGGTTAGCAGTCAAGTGCCTTAATCATGATTCTACCAGAGCTCCTTCTAAACTTACTATTTATTATAGTTTTATTATTAAATTAAAAATAAGTTAAACATTTGGAATATAAGCTAACATTTACTGACTATGCAGGCACTGTACTAAGTGTTTTACATGCATTTATCTTTGTATAACCAAACCTATGAGTTAGAAACCATTGAGGAAATAACCAGAGTGGTGGAATAAATAAAAAATCTGAAAAGATACTAAATAAAGAAGGAGAGGGACATGACAATAGTTATAAATAAGAACTCAGGAAGCTAGAACTTATCTGAGGAATGTATCTAGACAGAGGATGTATAAGGGCATATACTAAATAAAACTAATTAAAATAAATAGCCTAAGGTTGAGAAAAATGTTAGGAACACCATTAAGAAGTACTTCCCTCTAGGGAAACATTATAAAGTTTGTCCTTTGGAGAGTACTCCCTATTATAAAGCTACTGTTTCTTAGAACAAGTAAAGGGTAGGACAGAAATATTAAACAAGTCTATGAAAAGATTGGATTACAGGCTAAGAGATCTTAATCTCTGAAGCACTGACTGAGAAATCAGCCCAAGAATTCAATCTGGTAAATCAGAATTACAGTCTGATGCTAGGACAAGTACTTTTGTTTGAGAACACTTTCTTGACTACAAGTTTATCACTGTCACTTTCCTTTGAGTACTTCTGTCCACTGTTGCACGATATAACGGTCATTTTAGAAATTCAAGGGGCATTTTTGTTAAGTCAGTCTCAATGTTAAAGAAGATAAACATTACATATCTGAAATCTGGTGTAATAAACCACAAGAGAAAGGCCACTCAGAATGAAAATATTTCTCTTTTTTCAGGATGTATTTAACTTTTTATTTTATTAAGGCAAAATGGAAAAATATAAATAAGGAAGGTTATTAAAAATAAAATTTATAATAATTTAAATGATATTTTAAAAAACAAGAAATTTTGGACTCTTTTACTTATATTAATGTATACCAGTGATCCCAAACATTTTTTGAAGACAAAAGCTGTTTTTAATCTCCACAAATCATTAAGATCAATAGAGTCAAAAAGAGACTGACATGGAATCAAAAGGGCTGTAAGACAGTGGCACTGAAATTTTGTATGTCCATCCCAAGAAAGAAATATACTTTGTACTGCAACTTCACATTCACTCCTAAACAAACATTTCACTAAACAACTATGTGAGTCACTCAGATACTTTCTATTATATCATACCTTTTAAATGCCTTTTTGACCCAATAAATCGCTTTGGAACTCAGTGAAATAAGTTGCAATCCAAATTTTGAGAAACCCTTGCATAGAATAGAGGCAAAGATTGCTAAATTCCTGGACAAGAAATTCATGAAAGTGTGAAGGGGGTGGTGGCTTCCAGCTTCTCACCTACCTTCCCTGCAAATGCTGAGAAGCCATGCAGAAGTAGGCACACCAGTGCAACCTGTTCCAGCAAGCTCTTGGATAAGTCTTTGAAGTAATTCAAAATAGAATATTTAGAAACCATGATTGACACCTGCATCGTTGTACCATCTGAGCAGTTTATATTTTCTCATTTACTGTGACTTACTAAATAGTTATTTAAAAAATAATAATAATAGGAAGCGAATGCCTCCTTACTGAAGCTCCTTGATTTTTTTGTAATTATGAAATTTAACCATCATTTACTATTGCCTTTACAAAGCTATCACATACATGACTTCTCCATGCCAAGGCTCACTTCCTCCTCACACTACTTTTGTCAACAGCCAGATCCCTGCTGGATTATTTGGGAGAAATGAGGATTGGAGACTTCCAATAATACATGATTGCCTCTGAAAAATGACAACTGTGACCCACAGAAAGGGAGTCTTCCTTGTCATTCAGAACATAGGGAATTGCTATTCTTAGGTGCCATCGAGTTGGTTTCAACTCACAGTGATCCTACATACAAGAGAACGCAACATGCCCGGTCCTGCACTGTCCTCACTATCATTGCTGTGCTTGAGCTCATTGCAGCCACTGTGTCAATCCATCTCATTGAGGGTCTTTCCCTTTTTTTGCTGAACCTCTACTTTACCAAGCACATTCTTTCCTAGGGCCTGGTCCCTTCTGACAACATGACCAAAGTATGGTAGAAGAAGTCTGGCTATTCTCACTTCTAAGGAGCATTCTTGCTGTACTTCTTCTAAGACAGATTTGTTCATTCTTTGGCAGTCCATGGTACCAGTCACCAACACCACAATTCAAATGCATTAATTCTTCTGTGCTCTTCCATATTCACAGTCCAGCTTTCCCATACATATGAGGCTACTGAAAAGACAATGGCTTGGGTCAGGTGCACCTTAGTCTTCAAAGTAATAACTTTGGTCTTTAACACTCTATGGAGGTCTTCTGCAGCAGATATGCCTAATGCAATACTTGATTTGATTTCTTGAATACTGCTTCCTTGAGCATTGACTGTGGATTTCAAAATCCTCTTCTTTCTTCCTGTGTATTAGTGTAGAAGCTCTGCTGAAACTTGTCCTCTCTGGGTGACCCTACTGGTATCGGAAATATCAATGGGATATCTTCCAGCATCACAGCAACATATAAGTCACCACTGTACGACAACCTGGCAGATGAGTGGTGGAAACATAGGGGATTCATGGCTCTCAATTAGTTAAATTTCAAATGAGAAGCAAGTCTAATTATAAATACATTTATCTAATTAAATGTTGTTGTTGTTGTTGTTGTTGTTGTTGTTGTTACGTGCCGTGGAGTCGAACCCGACTCATAGCGACCCCTCCTTGGGTTTCCGAGGCAGTATCACTACGGGTGTAGATTGCCCCATCTTCCTTCCGAGGAGTGGCTGGTGGGTTTGAACCGCCAGCCTTCTGGTTAGCAGTCAAGTGCCTTTAGGCACTATGCTACCAGAGCTCCCATCTAATTAAATACACACTGCTAAATACACATTGCTTAGTTAGTATTGTCTTTAAATGGGTGACCCAGCAGCATGAAACACCATGTTTCCTTAATATTGAAGCCCCTCCACTTAATGATACCATGTTTTCTTCCAGACTACTTTTCCATAACAAGAACAATGATGCTTTGTCATCCTCAGGGAGAACAATATGATCCAGAGTGAGTTATGTATATTCTGAACTCTTTATTGAACTCCATACTGATTGGTTGAATTAACTTCATCTTTAATATCCATAAACTCTTTAATTCATTTAACACACAGCTATTGTTCTCCTGTTGGTTTAGTTTGGTATTATCCTCCTAAAAAGCTCTGGTGGTTCAGTGGTTAAAACATTGGGTGCTAACCAAAAGGGTGGCACATTGAACCCATCCACTAATCCGTGGAATAAAGATGAGACAGTTTGCTTCCAAAAAGATTTGGCGGTGTTGTTGTTATGGCTGTTGAGTAAGACCCGACTCACAGCAACCCCTCCTTGGGCTTCCCAAGCAGGATCACTATGGAAGTAGATTGCCCCATCTTCCTTGTGAGGAGTGGCTCATGGGTTTGAACAGCCAGCCTTCTTCTGGCTAGCAGCCAAGTGCCTTAGGCACTATGCTATCAGAGCTCCTCCGAAAAGATTTACAGCCCTGGAAACCCTGTGGGACAGTTCTACTCTGTCACTATGAGTCAGAATTGACCCTTACTTCTGAAAGAAATTATCCAGTGAAAACCTGATGAATAGCACTGGATCACTATCTGATATATTGCCAGAAGAGGAAGCCCTAGGGCTGGAAGGCACTCAGGACTGGAGAAGAATTGCCTCCTCAAAGTATAGTCGACCTTAATGCTGTGGATGGAGTAAAGCTTTTGGTACCTTCATTTGCCGATACGTGATGACTCAAAATAAGAAGAAACAGCTACAAACATTCATTAATAATGGGAATATGGACTGTACAAGGAGCTCTGGTGGTGCAGTGGTTAAGGTATTTGGCTGCTAACCAAGGGACTGGAAATTCAAACCCATTAGTTGTTCTGCAAAAGAACGATGGGTAGTCTGCTTCCATATAGATTTACAGCCTTGGAAACCCAATGGGGTCATTATGAGTCAGAATTGACTCAAAGACAGTAAGTTGCACTGTATAAGGTATAAATCTTGGAAAATTGGAAGTTGTCAAAAATGAAATGAATGCCTAAACATAGGAATCCTAGGCATTAGTGAGCTGAAATAGGCTGGTATTAGCCATTTTGAATCTGATAATCATATGGTCTACTATGCCAGGAATAACAAATGTCCCATTCATCATCAAAAAGAACATATCAAGATCTATCCTGACATAACAGTGTTGTCAGTGATAGGATAATATCTAAACACTGACAAAAATGACTAGCAATGACTGTGAGGATGGCACAGCATCAGGCAGTATTTTGTTCTGTTATATGTACACAGAGTTGCTATGAGGTGGAACCGACTCGACAGCCAGTAACAACAACAAACATGAAGACCAGTTAATACAACTATTATTCAAATTTACACATCAACCATTAATGCCAAAGATAAAGAAATTGAAGGCTTTTACCAACTTCTGCATTCTGAAATTGATCAAACATGTAATCAAGATGCACTGAAATAACTGGAATGTGAAAGCTGGAAAGAAAGAAAGAATGATCAGTAGTTGGAAAATATATCCTTTGTGACAGAAACACCACCAGAAATTACAAGACAGAATTTTGCAGGATCAAAGACTTATTCATAGGCAACACCTTGTTTCAACAACATAAATGGTGACTAGACATGTGAACCTTGCCACATGAAAAAAAAGGAATCAAATCAACTGAATCTGTGGAATGAGATGATGGTGAAGCTCAATATAATCAGTCAGAGAAAGGCCAGGGGTTGATTGCAGAACAGACCATCAATGGCTCTAATGTAAGTTCAAGCTGAAGCTGAAGATGATTTAAAAAAAAACAAGTTTATGAGACCCAAAGTACAATTCTGAGTACATCTCACTTGATTTTGCAGACCTTTTGAAGAACAGATTTCATGGACTGAACACTAATGACTGAAGACCAGACAAGTTGTGGGATGACATCAAGGACATTACACTTGAAGAAAGAAAAAGGTCACTAAAAAGACAGGAAATGAAGAAAAGACCAAAATAGATGTCAGAAGAGACTCTGAAACTTGCTCTTGAACATAGAGTAGCTAAAGCAAATGCAAGAAATGATGAAGTGAAAGAGGTGAACAGAAGATTTCAAAGAGTGGTTCAAGAACACAAGGTATTATAATTAAATGTATAAGACTTGGAGTTAGAAAATCAAAAGGGAAGAACACACTCAGCATTTCTCAAGTTGAAAGAACTAAAGAAAATATTCAACCTTCGAGTTGTAATACTGAAGAATTCTATGGACAAAAATTTAAATGATGCAGGAAGTTTCAAAAGAAGATGGAAGAAATGCACAGAGTTGCCGTACCAAAAAGAATTGGTCTGTATTCACCCATTTCAGGAGGAAGCATATGATCAACAACCAATGGTACTGAAGGAAGATGCCTAAGCTGCACTGAAGGAATTGGCAAAAAACAAGGCTCCAGGAATTGATGGAATACCAGTTGAGATGTTTCAATAAATGGATGCAACACTGGAAGTGTTCACTCATCTATGGCAAGAAAATTGGAAGCTACCTGTCCAACCAACTGGAAGATGTGCATATTTGTGTCCATTCCAAAGAAGGGTGATCGAGCCTATTCTTAGGTCCCTGGAATCAGAATGAGAATGCTATCACTTTAAAATCCAAAATGGTTGCCACTTCTAAAGATTCAAAATGGCTGCACCCTCAGTCACTTTAAACATCCAAAATGGCTGCCGCATGTAAACAGTCAAAATGGCTGCACCCTCTGGACAATGAAAAGTCAACAGCTCAGGATATCTCCCTCCTTGCTGTTTCCATTCCTAGTCATAGGCCACCAGCACAGTCGTCCCTGTAGCCCTTGGTGACCAGGGCTGATCTTTAGGTCAATTCTCAGGTCCTAACACCACTTGGAAATATTCAGGCTATTGGTGCCATCAGAGTAGCTGACAGTCCACAGCTCCGACCATCTCTGTACTCATTATTTTTTGTTCAGGTTTTTGCACTAGTTGGTGCCTAATCCACTTCTGCATAGTTCCTTTCAAAGCTCAGGGCTCCAGGATTATCTTTTGTATCTCTGTCAATTGGTTTTTCTTTTCTTTGTTGAAGAGGGTTTGTGTCACTTATCTGCCTATTCCTCTATCTTACCCCAAAACAATTATTTTATTGATGAAACAACTGAGGAACAGAGAGGTTAAGTAACTTGCTCATGCTCATTCTGTTGGTTGGTAGGTGAAGGAGATTAGAGTCAATATAGGCACTCTGGCTCTACCATCCATGCTCTTAACCACTTGGCTATATTGTCTTTCTCTTGTATCCTCCTGACAACCCTATCAAACGAGTAATTAAGAGGTTTGAAACTGAATACAAATCTGCCTCCTCCATTAGACAATCAGCTAGTTTCCTAAGGCTAAGAAATATTTATCACTAAGCTCCGTATCAATGTCATCTAGCATAAGGTGTAGAACAGAGTAAGTGTGTGTGTTTTGTTTTGTTATTCTAAATGATTGGTGAATGACAAAGTCTTAGAGTATATCTCTCCTCTACATGGAGCCAAATATGTAGTTGTGGTCCCACAAGTCCTAATCTCTACAACCAATTATGCCAATCCATTAGATTCCTATACCATACCTGAGTACAAAGCTTTAAAAAAAATAAATGCTACCAACTAATTCCAAGTGAACAGTGCATAGAAAGACAAGATTTCTGACTTAAGATAAAATTGGAAAGATGGCAGAATCATGTTTGTTATGCTCTTATTTTTCTTCTTATCTTTCTTCTATCTGGTCCATCATTTAGGGCAGTGGTTCTCAACTATGGAGCAACCTGGTGGCGTAATGCCTAAGACATTTGACTGCTAACCAGAAGGCTGGCAGATCAACCCCACCAGCCACTCCTCAGAAGGAAGACTCGGCAATCTACTTCCATAGAGATACCACTTAGGGAACCCAAGAGGAGTCGCTATAAGTCAGAACTGACTCAACAGCAGTGAGTTTGGGTCATTCTTGAATGTCATTTTCTTCAGGGACATATGGCAATGTCTGGAGACATTTTCGACTGTCACCAGTACGGGGGTAGGCATGTTTCTACTGGTATCTAGTAAACAGTTAAACATACTATAATGCACAAGACAACAACTCTCTCCCCATACCCAACACACACACTTCCAACAAAGAACTCTCTGGTCCAAACTGTCAATGGTGCTGAGACTGAGAAACTCTGGTCTAGGGTCAATAGCCACTATGATATGGGAGAGCACAGTTTGCTTACACCACTTTAAAAGAGCAGAACAAAGCTGCTAGTAGGGGGAATACAGAGTGGTCACCTTACAACTGGAATCCACAGACCAGCTTCCTACTCCCTGTTTGCCCAATGATAACCCCTGGATTACTGTAGTGGATAGCCAGGATACACTACATACACATTTCTCCTGTTCCATCAAATATACCCTTCTGAATAGTCAAATTAGGTACTAACCCAGCTGTGCCCAGAGAGGATTATATGGGTGTGTTTTGGCCAGCATGTTTACTGACTGAGAAGTACGTTTTTCCGAGAAGGCTTTAATGGGAGGGTGGTCAACAGGCATGACAGTTGGTACCCAGGCCAGGTGGTAGGTTAACACTGCAGTCAGTAAGGCAGCAAAAAACCTTGGAGAAATGAAAGAAAATACAACCAGATGTCAATGCAGGACAAGGCAAGTCATACACAGCACATAAATTGCCCGCTGATTTTGCATACACTCAAACCCAAGTCTCCAGAGAATTGAAGCTTACTGGTTCTTGTTGATCTGTTCTATCAGAAGAGTAAACTCCTTGAGAAAGCGCTGGCAGAGCTGGGTTTTTTCCAAAGTGCTGGACATCATGGTAAGCCATATGGGTTCTGCTATCCTTGGAACAGAGTATAAGTTCCAGATAGTCCCTCTATAGAGAAGAAGGAGAAGAGGTACACAAAATTGCCCCAAATATTATTTTGGATAACCTTTATATAAAAGAATAAAGAAGAAAACAAAAATTTGTACCTGTATAGTTCCTAATTCAAGCAGTTTATAAAAAGGGTCTGTAAACCATGGCCCACAGGACAAATGATGCTACCTATTTTGTGAATAAAGTTTTATTGGAATATGACCACTCTCATTCATTTACATATTATCTATGGCTACCTTCTCACCACAATAACATAGGTAAGTCATTGCAACAGAGACCCACGACCTACAAAACCTAAAATGTTTACTATCTGGCCCTTTCCAGAGAAAAATATGCTAAACTCTAATATAAAATACTCATTTTAAAAACAATTTATTTTCCAATGCCTTGTATCAGATTTAATACCCATTTTTTATAGTAAGGAATTAAAAGGAAAAAGTATATGCTATACTGAAAATGTAACCAGAGGCATCTCAACGCTCTTAATTCTCAGTTAACACTTCAGTTCTCTGAGCCAAAGTACCCAATTCATTTTAGATGAAAAACTACACAAATAGCTCTCCTTGGCTCTACCATATACTTAGTTTTTATAATGACTAACAGAATCAAATTCTTATAGCTGTAAGCAATCAGAGAAACTGACTAGCCTAGTTCTATCACTCTGTAGATTAAGAAACTAAGGCCTAAAGAGATTAAGTTACTTGATCAAGACACAAATATTGAATGACAAGGTCAGGATAAGAATCCATGTCACCCAATCCCTGGTAGAGAGGGCTCTACTCCAAGCTACATGACTCATGAGCATTTTTCCAAAGAGCATACTGACTTAGCTTAAGATCTCTACTGGGTAAGTGGCCACTGTATCTCTGATTATAAAACACTCCTCCAAAATCAAGATAGATGAGACATATTCTGACTTGATGTTCTAAATGTATGTGTGAAAGAACAGAGACACTACAGAATTCCACCTCAGCAAAATGGAGCATCTGCTGAGTTAAGCAGTAACAAGTTATGCTTACATGGAATTGAGATTCATGTACTAAAACTTAAGGTCTCTTTATTTTGTCACTATATCTTAATTGATTGTTGAAGTAAGAATATAGCCTGTCTACCTATACAGTTGAGACATTCTGGTCCTGTACTTTCAGATCTTGACCCCTAAAAATTAATATTTTCATTAAACTAGTACTTGCTCAAGCACGAGTAAGCTTCTAGCCAGACTGCAATAGAGCAACAGGTAAAAACCCTGTGCTGCCCACAAAATTATGTAAAGTTTGCTAATAATCAGCCATCAGAAAGTATAATTTCACATTATTTCTTAAATATGTGACTTAAGATTTAATGGTCACCAGATGACCTAAGGCACTTGACTGCTAACCAGAAGGCTGGCAGTTCAAACCCACCAGCCACTCCTCAGAAGGAAGGCTGGGCACTCTACTTCTGTAGTGATACTGCCTGGGAAACCCAAGGGGGGTTGCTATGAGTCGACAACAACAGATGATGACTAGGAGCTCTGGTGACACAGTGCCTAACTCACTGGACTGCTAACCAAGAAGGCTGATGGTTCAAACCAGCCACACCTAGGAAGGAAGACTGGGCAATCTACTTCTGTAGAGATACCACCTCAGAAACCCAAGGAGGAGTCATTATGAGTTGGAGCCAACTCGATGGCACTGAGTTTGGTTTATTTTTTTAAGATGATGACTAATGTATCATCTGAGTATTTGAATACTTTATACATAATCCAGGGTTGAAAAAAGGCTAGTGGTAGCATTACAGAGTTCACCACCATATCTATCTTAAGCATCATAAAAATGCTCTAACATTCTAAGAATTGCAAAATTTTTTATCTCTCGACTAAGAAGTAACAGTTTGACTCATTAACTTATGTCTGCTTTGGAGTGAGAGTCCATTCCCCATTGAGAAACTGGCTCCAGGAAACAGTGTGACAATCTCAGCGCAGCATGGTACCTGAGAATCTCACCTGCTACCCAAAGCAGATTACCTTTCTACCCATCCACTAGGAGCAAGGACTCTAAAAACCTGGTTTCCAGAGTGCAAATCAATTACAAATTATGAAGACACAGTAGGGTGACCATATAATTTAATGTCCAAACCAGGACATTTAGGAGAGTGAAAGGAGGTGCTATTAATGTTATCCCAGGACAATGAGTATAAACTAGGATTGTCCTGGCAAAGTAGCATGTTTAACTCACCAACATACATACTTTCCACCTATGCTTTGGATACTGCCTCGGAAACCCAAGGAGGGGTCGCTATGAGTTGGGTCCGACTCGACAGCATGTAACAACAACAACAATGCTCTGGGTATGCATCTGTGAACTCAAGTTTCTACATCCTTAAAATAAGGTTAAGAGTGCTTACTCTTAGGGCTTCTGTGAAGATGACATAAGTAAAATGCTTATAAGAGACACCTGAATACTATTTTTCCACATTCATCCCATATCAATGGCTGTCAGGTAGAAGTGAGGACTAACCACCCCAAAACCCATTGCCATGGAGTAGATTCTGACTCATAGCGACCCAAAAGGATAGAGAAGAACTGCCCAAACCAAGGCTGTAAATCTTCATATATGTAGACTGCCACATCTTTCTCCTGCAGAGCCACTGTGCCCAGGCAGTGGTTAAACACTCAGCTCTAAAAGAATGGTCAGTAGTTCAAATCCACCAGCTGCCCCACGGAAGAAAAATGTCACAGTCTGCTTCCATAAAGTTTTATAGCCTTGGAAACCCTATGGGGTGATTTCAGTCTGCTCTGTAGGGGCACTATAAATAAGCTTCAACTCTATGACAAGAGATTTAGTGCAGATTACTTAGCACTAATTACTTAAATATTTTGCTCTATTTGGTCTCAGTTTCCATCTTGAAGAAAGGAGCCATTAAAGTACTAATAATTGCCAGTTCCCCAATTCTTCCAAGTCAGAGTCTCTTTGTACTCCTAAATTCATGGATGATGCTACTGCTACTTGTTTATTTCCCCTGTTGGATTTGCCAAACTTTACCAAATTTACCTGAATTCTCCCAGAGCTTCCATTAGACGGCTGACATAAAACTGGACTCGGTGACTAGATTCTGCTATCTTTCTACAGGAGATCATGGCCTTCATTAAAGAGAAAACAAGCCAAATTACCAGGAAAATCCTTTATAACTTACCCATAGGGCTTTATTAATAAAAGACATTGATCAATTATGGTCAATTAAAAGCACTCAAGTTAATAATGACTTAAGTCATCAGAAAATAGTAATTTCCTTTCTAAAAGCAATCCAGTACCTGATATCTAACACCAAGATGCCCAAGGATCTATCATTGCTGTGTATTATTTAGCTTCTCTAGGAAAGTTAACTGATACATAAACAAACCACCTCTACTATCTTTACAAGCCTTGTAATTGCAAGTGCTTCTCCATTTGACACTGGATTACATTCCTATTACCTTTTCAATTGCACTCTTCAGCCTATTCATGTGAGATTCAAACAGTGGGAAATGAGAAAAAAAGAAGTCCTGGAAATTCCTTTGTGCTTCTTCCTTCTCACACAGGGAAAAGATGATGCTTATGGCAATTTTCTTCCTCCGAACTATGGCTGGGTTAGAACTACAGGTTTCTTCAGCCAAGCTGAAAGTCTCATCAGTTGACCTAGAAGAAATAAAATTTTGAAATGCTGCTATGCTTCAATGCACCACAATGAAGGGAAACTGTAATGCCAAGGGTCAACATTCAGAAATCTAATTCAGAAAACTCAGTCTTAACTAAGAGTTTATCTGCCTCTGAGTCATTCTCCTCTATAATTCTCTGTCATGAAAAATGAAACCACCAGTTTGCCACAATTTTGTCCTAACATAAAAAGAAACATAAATGACAATTTTGTCCCAACAGGAAAAGAAACATTAAGTAATTTTAAATGTCCCCTTGTTAGACATTGTTCCCCTCCCCCCCCAAGTCCTTTTCCCTTGGATTATTTTACTGCCAGACTGGTGGCATTTAGAAAGGGGTGTGAAATATCTGTTTGCTCAAAACACAGGTCTTTGTTTTGGTTGAGAGATACCAACGAATAAGAACATCAGAAGAGAAATAGCCCTACAAGTATCTGTTCAAAAAAAGATAATGTCTGGATATTTCCTGGTAAGTGTAAACTCTAAATGTCAATTTACTTGCTCAAAGGTTATTAAAACTACTGGATGAAGTTACTCCTCCGAATGCTCTGAGACAGCCCTGCAATTAGTCAAATTCTAAAACACTTATGATTCTTTCTAGAGACTCTGTTCCCACAGAACTAAAGCCATGAAATCAATCATTTATGAATATATATTCAATTGATCTTAAGGCATAAGCATCACAAATATGGCCTAACCACATGGGTATTCCTACTCTCTTCTTTAAACTACTCTGAAAAGCAGGCATAGCTACCGCATAGTTACCAACAGCAGGAGTAAAGAATAAAACAATTGGCTTTCCTGCAAAGACATAAAAGCAAAGGACACATGAGGTACTGTTATAAAAATTACACTACAATAGATCATCAGCTGTTTTCTCTGAGACATCTATCTCTACATGCTAATTATCTGCTCAACAAATATATGTGCTGTTGTTGTTATTTGCCACCCAGTCGGACCCAACTCATAGTGACCCCTCCTTGGGTTTCTGAGGCAGTAACACTACGAAAGTAGATTGCCCAACCTTCCTTCTGAGGAGTGGTTGGTGGGTTTGAACCACCAGCCTTCTGGTTAGCAGTCAAATGCCTTAGGCACCATGCTACCAGAGCTCCATTAAATAAACAAACAAACAAACAAACGCACATGTGTGTGTGTGTGTGTAAACCAAACCAAACTCACTGCCATCGAGTCAGGTCTGACTCACAGCAACCCTTCCTTGGGTTTCTGATGCAGTATCACTAAGGAAGTAGATTGCCTAACCTTCCTTCCAAGGAGCCGCTGGTGAATGTGAACTGCCAGCCTTCTGGTTAGCAGTCAAATGCCTTAGGCACTACGCCACCAGAGCTCCCTTGTTGTTGTTAGGTGCCCTGGAGTCATCTCCGATTCATAGAGACCCTATGCACAGCAAAGAAACACCACCCGGTCTTGAGTCACTCCCTGATTCTTGCTATACTTGAGACCATTGCC